CCCCAAAACCCCAAAACCCCAAAACCCCAAAACCCCAAAACCCCAAAACCCCAAAGCTTACTATAACATCGAAGAATAAATTTAAATAATAAATAAGTTTGTTATATAAGAAATATGAACGATTTTGTGCATCCTAGGAAAGGATTTGGGGGAAATACTAGACTAGATCCTTTGGTTGGAAAATCCCCATCTCTATCTGGGGTTCATCCAAAACCCTCTAAACCTAAAACCCTAATGACTCAGTCTTTGATCAAAGGAAATAATGTACAAAATAGTATCCACAAAAAGAACGAGAAGCAACCAAAAACTAAAATTCCTGTTGTTCCTGCAGATGAAAGAATCGTAATAAAAGTTACTGACGAGAGGAATAATATCAATAAGAATTTTGAATGAAGAAAAGGTTTGCTTCTAAGAGAAATGAAATATTTTGAAAAACACCTTAAAAGCACAGACTCTGCAGAAGACATTGACATTAGTGTGCACTGAGATGTGGCCATATTCGAATGGTTGATGAACTACATAAACGATAGAGAGCCTAAGCTCTCTACTCAAAATGTGATCCCTATCCTTATCTCTGCAGAATTTCTAGTTATCAGAAGGCTGATAGATAAATGCATTGAGTTCATTATTGAAAACATCACAGCCATCGCTGCTGGAAGAGTTGATCTAAATTGTCTCAGTCAGAACTTATAATTAAGAAAATAGCGGATGCAATTACTCTTGAGCAATTGAATTTATGTAAAGACCCTAGAGATAGTATTCAGTCCAAGCTTTATTACCATAAATTAGGCGATCTCTTGAAAATAGATTCGAATGAAATTTTCAGATGTATTCATTGAAATATTCTATACACTGAGGAGCAGACCAAATGGATGACATGTCCAAAAGCAGGAATATTCATTGATTTCAGAGGAAGGGTTATCTCTAACCACTTCCCTGACTCTAACTGGAAGATAGAGGAATTTTTCAATTTCCTCAAGAAAAATAATGTCTCCTGGAGACGAATATTTTGGAAAATCTGGGGGAGAATCCATACTGATGAATGTACAAACTGTGGCCAGAAGTTTGTATATGCAGACAGAGACCATTGAAGTTATCACTCTGAAAAGCCAACCTTCGCCTATGGTTCTAATAATGGAGTATATCCATGTTGAAATGCTGAAGCGGTCAGATTTACAACTGGAGTTGACGCAGGAGGGTGTGAAAACCGCCCTCATTCTTTTAAAAATATGAAAGAAGATTCTTTACAGTATAAATTTTTGCTAAAGCATTATGAGCTATTAAAGGAGACAGCAACTCCTCAATCTCTTTGTGAAAGTATTGAACCTGAAAAGACTCCAAAATCAGCATATACACGAGAAGAACTAGAAACAGAAGAATCTAAAACTTCAACAGTTGTTAGGCATAAATTAATGTCCTTATTGACTCTTGTAAAAGAGTTTACAAATAAAAAATTGAAAAATAACGCTAAAAACTGCTCTGATTGTATGAAAATTGGATCATGTTGCAGTAAATGATACAATCTTGATGACGAGGATGATGACTCTCCAGATTTCAATTTTGTACTCCCTAAAAAGCTAAAGCCACATTCTCACAGTAAATTCATTTCATTCAAACCCATAAATTCTATATCTCTTAACCTAAGAACATGAAAATCCCTGATCTCTACCTTCCCAAACCTATTATCTATCTAACCACCTCCCCATAGGTTCAAACTTCAAAAACAAAGAAAACGGAATTCCTTCCAAGAAAGGCTCTAACGCAACCACCGCTGGAAAATACAAACTCTGGAAGATGGATTACTACAGACAAAAGGACAGAGACGCTATGTCTGACATCAGCAAACAGCTCAAAAGGCACCGCAAGAAGCACAAATCCTCTCACATGAAACTTCTCATAAAATCCTCCTCTAAAGGCCCTCCAAAGCCTTCTTCAAAGCCTAGTACAAAACCTTCCTCAAAATCAGGCCCGAAGGCGCAGCCCAAGGGCGGCCCAAAGTACGGCTCTAAGCCTGCAAGCGGCCACTCTAAGGCTAAATATAGGAGGTAAGGGCCTAAGTGACTGTGGAAGATATAATTAGTTCTTTAATAATTTAGAAAATTAGGGGTTTAGTGGACTTTCAGTTGAGGAAGGATTGGTCGGGGTTTTGGGGTTTTGGGGTTTTGGGGTTTTGGGG